GGGTAGACTTCTGTAAAAACTTCAGCATCAGGAAAGCTGTCGCTGTTGAATTTGTACAGCTCCTCGCTATCGTACATGTATTTGAGACATAAAAGAGAAACGCTAACTGTATAGGTGTGCACATATATCATACGATACCATTGAGCGTATTCTATGACGAATGTCTAGAAACTTATGGTTAGAAGAAGACATTCATTATACCCTTTCTCTCTACCTTCTAAGACTACAGACATCCGAACAATTTCAAGATAATCCAAGTTTCAAAGAAAGAATTTGTAAAACGAGAAAGTTCACAAAACAGGCATATTTTGCAGAAACATGCGCTGTAAGACGCCTTCCCCTCCTCCCTGTCCCAAGTGCCGGTTTTACTCACTTATCTACCCGGCTATGCTCTTTACGATTTTATTTTACGGTTTCTCTTCGACGGTTCGAAAGTGGACAGTTTTTTTTCTATGATTTTAACCTTGACGATTTTACTTCCTAGTTTTTCTTTTATACTTTTGCATTTTACGGTTTTCATAATGTAGCTTTTTACTTCATGGTCCTTCTACACGGTTTTTTTTTCGAAGGTTATGCATTTTACGGTTTTTATTACGTTTTTTTTTCACCGTGTTGCTAATAGCATGTGTATTGTGTTGTATTAAAAATGAGTTCTGATGGAGAAAACTGAGAACTACGGGCAGATTTCCGACTTTTTCGCTCCTGATTTAGACAAAATGAATTTTCTCAGTGATAAAGAAAAATGAAAAAAAAAGAAGCTTTCATAAGGGGAGTCCAAGACTTTCATCCAGGATAGACCTTTGATTTCAACCTTGATCAAGCATTATTCTCATATTCAGTTTTTAACGCTGAATCTGAAAAAAATACTTTCAAGAAGTTAGAAGAACGAAAAAGAAGAAGATTTGATTTTTTTGAAACTGAAGGGTTTTTCGAAACTTTAGACGTATTGAGTCTTTTCAGTTTTTCTTTCTTAAAATAATTTTAAAATAAATTAAATCCAACCATGTGCAAATAAATGCAAAAAAAATAAAATTGCCATGAGTTTGAATTTTCGCCATCATACATCTGCAAAGATAAAAAACAACAGTTCAATAAAGATGAACTGTACTGAATGCGAAGACGTGTTGTGTGAAAGTAAACCTTTTGCTCTATCAAACCAGACATACGAACTGCATAAAAAGGTTTGATTGACTATATTTTATTAAAATGTTCAAAAAGAGATCTCGAAAAGTCTGGCTTTTGGGAAAAAATCTTTAAAACGTGTCCAAAGTGGCTTTTACGTATTAGTGCCACCTATAGCTCATCAGAATTGAGGAGAAGCCGAGAAAAATCCTAATGAAGACTATTGAAAATAGTAAAGAATATAAAGGGAAAGAATTAGCAAGTTTTTTAACAGAGTAGATTCTTAAATGGCCTCAAGAACTGTGTCTAAAAGCTCTTAGTAACGACGACACAATTTTTCCACAGAAACTGTGACACATTTTACTGCAACACAAAATGTTACACAATATTTTTTAGTGTATACAAAATGCGTTTTTTCCCGAAAACGACTTTTTTACTACCAGGCTTCATTGTATCACATTACGACCCCCCTTAGATTTCATCTGATCGAATTCAAAATTCATATGTGAAAACAAATGATAGGCTAATGTTTTTCTCAAATTTTGAGGTATTCTTTCAAACAAAAATAATTTATTAGATGCTAAGCGGGAGAAGAAGCACGGGACGCGCTGCAATTTGGGAAAAAATGGGTACAAAATGACGAAAGACTCATCCTTTCTGCTGGAATAATAGAATATAATTTTCTTACCTCTCGCATCAGCTAAAGATGTGATTTTCGCCAAAATTTATCATTTTTGCTCTTCTACAAAATCTAAATAGTCCGAACGTTAGCAATCACACTTTTATATACATGAGAAATTTTAAATGGACACATAATTGCGAAGGCAATATATAAGCTTAACTTATACATATCAATATCTTTCTATCAATGACATTATATTTTAAACATTTTCGATTGTACCATAAAGGTCACTATGTCTGTGCAGATCAGGTAGTTATCTCTACATATGAATCAGGTGATTAAATTAAATGTATCCATGGACGGAAACGATTATGTAAACAATAGTCTTTCTCTCATTTTCTGTCGGTAACTAAAGCGAATGATAGTAATAGAAAGAAAAATAAAACGAAGATGTAATTACTAGAGAGTGAACCCGATGGATGGTATGTATATTGTCATGGTTCAGTAAAGAATGAATCACAATGCATATAAAAAAATAAGATAATGTGTTTTATGTGTGCATATAAAAAAACAAGGCATATGTTATGAATAAAACCATTTTTGTCAGATGTATCTATTCATAAAATAAATTAAATATTGAATAATCAAGTTTTTCATCTCATTTGGTAACGTTATATTTTTATAACATTGTGTCTAAGTTGAGTCGAAGAAACATGCTTGATAAATAAGCGAATGTCGATACTATAGAGGGAAAAAAAACAAATGATTCAAGCCGACATCAAATGAACGTGTTTTTTAACCTAAGAAAAGTGAGTCACATACGGTCATGAGTGAGACACATCATGCAATAAACTGAAGATCTATATATCAATAGATCTATCGATTGCATTATTATTGAGCGTAAGTTTACGTTTGTGTCTATAATCTAAGAGTTTACACTCTTGCAACTTCAGTCATGTATCTATCGACGTAGAAAAAGTGTCTTTTATATCTGTAGGTAGACATATCAAATTTACATGGGAGACATTTAAACATAAAAGACACTTTACAATCACATATTATGAAGAACTTGACGAATATTCTGTTAAGGAAGCTGTATTCAACTTTCTTGGAAGAAATGTTTTTTGAGCAGCAAAAAATAAGACTTTCTTTTTTAAAAAAAAAATTTTAACTTACTTTTGTAGAATCTTTTGAGTACTTTAACACTAGCTAGTCCTTTGTATGGTACAGTTTACAAAATTTCATCAATTTGTTGAGTTTGGGTTAGTTTGAGTAATTATTAAAAAATATCTTGTTTTTCGGTGCTCATTTGACATATAACTCTATCTTCAGATTTAAGGTGATAGTCTGCGTAAAGATTGAGAACAATGAACGGAATCTGCTACTTCTGCTCAGCTATTGACTTTTTTGAAGAAAAAAGCAGTTATCAATGAGGCGTCTAATCAAACTTCGAAAGAAATAGTAGAAACTGTAACTTGAGTGTAGCGACTTCCATGTACTTTTACTTTACCTTTTTTTTATTAAAGTCTCTCATCGCACGCGGATTTTGGGTATCCAACGTATGTGTCTTATTAGAAGTTACTTTTTTCATTTGACTGTAGTACTGTGAACTTTGTAAAAAGTTTTAGGAAATAAAAATTCGATTTTTATTCAAAAGAGTAAAGTTAATAGTAGAACTCATAAACGATAATAATACATTGTTCTTAAAGAAGAGATCTCAATAGGCATGTAGAAATTATAAGTTCTATTGATGTCTGTATATTCTATTTATCAATGAATCACTTAACGAGTTGTCGTGAATTTATTAAGTTAAAATATACTTATTTATCGCTTATGAGTACTTCCTCACAAGTCTGACCAAAAATAGATGGACTTACGTGAAATTATTCTTATACATTTTTTTTTCTCTATTTCAAATTGTACGGATATATTGTATTCGTCGGCTCTATTCGATTCTATATTCTCCTATTAAAGATCGAGCAGATTGTTCTGCTCTAGAGAATGTCCCGTTGGTCTAGCCTTGAAAACAGAGTTATGACTTATCACTTATACTGCCTGTTACCTGTTTTTTTCTCTTATTTCTGTCAGCTTGCAGATGAGAGTAAGAAAGTGTAAATAAGACCAGGTCGAGACAGTCTGTATTTTTCTACTGATAAAACAAACAGTAAATCTTGGTCTAGTCTTGGTATTTTCTGAGAAACAAGATCAGGATCCCTTTTTTTCATAATCACCGTTTTGTTTTGCTAAGTTACGTAGTGTATAGTAACCACGTATTCTTCGAAAAATTTCAAAGCTATTCTCATCGTTGATGAGTAATGCCTTGGAGATTTCTGGACTGAACGAGAGATATTCAACGACAAAAATTTCTGGGTTTCTACTGTTTTGTGCGCAGTATGGACGATTAGCGAGTAGCATACTTAATTTTTGAGCAACCCATTAGCTATGAAAAAATTTTCATGTATACAATATGTTCGCGGCCTTGATTGTTTTCTCTGATTAGAAGAAAAGCAGATCCTGACGAGGAAAACAGGCAAAGACTCTTTTACTTACTGATATCTGACCAGACAAACTAAAGATCCTCTAGAGTAATTATCCTTCACATTTCAATAAAAAAACAGATGACGAAATCTCAATTTTTCAAGTTTACTGAATTTGGATATTTTGGAGCTTTTCATAAAAATTAAGTATCTCGGCAACGAAACACTTTTTAGACCTGCAGTTTTCGCTAAAATTTATCAAAATGTTTTCTCGAAACATGTCGCCTACTTTGAACGAAATCTGAGATAGTCGATTCGGCAGCATTATACGGTAATAGGAAAACAGGCAAAGACTCCTTTACTTACTGATATCTGACCAAACAAACTAAACATCCTCTAGAGTAATTATCCTTCACATTTCAATAAAAAAACAAATGACGAATTTCTTCCTTAGACAAGCTGGATAATATAATTCTTAACAGATATAACCACTTTTTATTTTTTGGTATATAGACGACGACGACTAGTTTTTGTACCAATTGGTTTCCCTTGATTTCAATGTCGTCATAATCGTTCTTTTAGCTACCTTTACCTGTAATAAGATGTTTCCCATAATAATAAATATTTGACATCCTCTTCACTGGTACAGACATTTTTTCTTTGCTTACTTTCTTCGCACATTATTTAACCATTACTCTAGTGATTTAATATCAATAAAATAAGTAATGAAGTCATTATATTACTGAGCTAGCTAACAGATTATAGTCACCTTTTAGATTATGGATAATTATAATTCTCTTAATAAGCAAGTACCTGTTCTTTACCCAACATACGAAGAATTCAAAAATCTTTCTGCTTACATTATCTCACAAGAACAACGCATCATACAATCTCAATTTGGTGCATTCAAAATTGTTCCACCATTCCGTTGGGTACCTGTCACCAATTGCTTCTCCAGTATTCGAATTAAGTCGTATCTAACTCAGCGTATTACTCCATCATCAAAAGTTAATCATGTATATCAAATTAAAAATATAATAACAACAAAACGTCGAGCAATGTTTTACGAAGAATTTAAACGTTTAGCCGAAAGTGAACATCATCATTTGTCCGATTCAATCGATGACGTTGAAGAATATTTTTGGAAATCGATTCACGAACAAACTTCGACAATGCATCCCCCAATATACGCTGCTGATATTAATTCTAGTTTATTTTCGAAAAAAGAGACAATCTGCAGTTTTAGTAATCTTAAATCGTTGCTCAATTATTATCCGTTGGATATTAAAGGTATGTAAATACAGCACCCATGAGGTTTCTCTGATACCAAAAAACGCTGAAAAGCGCGTTTTCCAACGTTAAAGTGCTAAAATTTATCGATAAAAGGGCTATGCGTTATGACAAACGACAGATTTTATACCGTTGTGATCCGTTAACAGATTCTGTTCCATTATACGACGTTAAATGGTTCAGATAGCAAGCTTGAACGGAATATCTTATTTCTTACGTTGTAGCACGTTAATTTTTCATAAGTAACGCGTTATCTAACGTACTTTAACGCGTGCAACGAGATTTAGTAGTAAGTGTTAAATTACAAGTTATTGCTAAATATTGAGAGTATTTTATTCCCTCTAATTTTAATGCAGCTTAGACGAAAACAGTTTCAACAATCAGTTATTGTCGCAGCAAAACAAAAGCGAACAAAATAAGCTTATTGTGAAAGTGGAATGATGCTATATGGTGTCGACCATTTTATACACAACTTTCTTACTAAGTGACATTTTAGTAAGAACAGAGAGAACAAAAGAGTAAATCAATCAGTTTTCTGTAAGAAAGTCGATTTTGAGTTTCTGTAAGCTCTTTATGGATATAGTAGTCAACAGTCAACAGAATAGATTTTACTTGAACACATTAAGTGGATAACATTGAAGTGGGATATAAACTCAGCAAAATAAATAAAAATTCTGACATTTATTTGTTTTCAGAATCTTTTAGACGATTCATCGGATAGTTATCTAAAGCGACATCATTTGTAACGTTAGAGTAACAAATTCTGACATTTATTTGTTTTCAGAATCTTTTAGACGATTCATCGGATAGTTATCTAAAGCGACATCATTTGTAACGTTAGAGTAACATAATTATTTCTTTTACTTTTTTTATTAATAGGTGTGACAACACCCTATCTGTATATTGGGATGTGGGGCAGTGTATTTGGGATGCACACCGAAGACTGTGATCTATACTCTTTAAACTACCTGCATTACGGTGCCGCAAAAATTTGGTATGTCATACCACCGGCGTATGCAGACCGTTTAGAGAACTTTGTCAATGACAACAATTTAATTGAACTAAGTGGTGACGAGAAATTGTGTACAGCCCCCATTCAACATAAAACGTTATTGATTCACCCAAATCTTCTAATACAAAACAATATTGACTGTCATCAGATTATTCAAAAACAAAATGAAATCGTTTGCATTCTACCACGTTCGTATCATTTTGGTTTTAATTGTGGATTGAACATTGCCGAAGCGATCAATTATGCATTGCCTTCTTGGATCAATTATGGTATGAAAACTAAAATTTGTTCGTGTGTGCAACCGGTTGTTAAACTTGATATGCAACATTTTACAACAGATATTGTCGACAAATTTGAACAAGATATTGGGAAAACAAAACTACCATTAACTAACTTTAGTTTTAGTCAACAACCAACAGATCCGATTACTCACGTTTCAGATCTATTTGTTGGTAAGTCGATGCTTCACTGATGCTAAAATGTATAGTTAATCCATTTTATTCTTTTAGACACGAATTGTCACCTACCAGAATCTACACACAATCATATCCTCTCCGACGATATGCAGTGTGTTGATTTTGAAGAAGTTCAACTTCTGAATGATTTAGCCAAAGTCTATACACTAACCACTGAAATATCTCAACAACAACAACAAAAGCAAGAAGAAGAGAAATGGAAACAATTTGAAGAGAAGTTAATGCATCAAATCAGACTGAATATGTTACAATTTTCAGCACCATCAACAACAACAACAGCACCCACTCTTCTACACACAGTATCCAAACGTATGAAAAAGCGAAAATGTTATTTTTGTCAACAATATGGACACTACAGAGACAATTGTCCAAAATATCTTGCGAGGAGAAACAAATAAAGGACTTTTGGGTTGAGTGACGTCTCTAGTCTTAAAACTATTCAGTCTTTACAATTAGAGGAAGTTCACATAAGCAAAATAAGTATCTTCCAACACGTAATAGTGTCTAGTTTTAATTCTGCTCTAGACAAGCAATTGTGCAAGCTGTAATAATGTTGGACGATAAAAAAATTACAACTGATAATCGAACTTAGAAATAATTACTTCTTATATCATCGCTGTTTAATTGAGCTATCGAAACACTGTTTGATGTCAAATCTACCAAATAGAAAAGGATGATTGTATTGGGCTATGCCTCAAAAGCTCAAATGTGATATTATACAACAGACAGCTGATCAGTGTCTTACACTTCATGCGAAATGTAAAAATATCAATACCGACGATAATTTCCCTTCGTTACTGTTTTCGTGAATGACTAACGAAAAGCAGAACAACGCTGGTTTTTTCCCATCGTTCGAAATACTGTCAATTCTTCTTTTGCTCGGAGCAACTCAGATTCTTAATGGAATATTTAGTGTTACAATTTCTACGGTTGATTTAAAAAATAATGTTCTTCCTAATAATAGTATAGTGCGTGGAATCGGTTCACGTATGTGCCTTGCAAATATTGTTTTATTTCTTGTATATTTCCATAGTAATCTGTTGATGATTCCAAAATTTGTAATAGAAATAGATATTTTTTATATGAGTAGATCGTACAAAGTGTCCAAAATGGAAATCAAGCGAGACGTTCATCTATCATAGTTTACTAGTGGCATCCAATGGTTTGAAAGCTGAGATAAATTAACGTGGATACCTTATGAATTAAATTTATTTGCGATAGCGTTTGGAATTTTTTAAAGATCATCCCTATCAGAGGTGAGCGATGGACGATGATTTTTGGAAGGTTCCGCGGTTCTTCACGGGGCGGATCCCGCAAGGATGATTTTTTGAAAACTTGACGGGGCCATGACGAGGTAGGAACTTCACGACGCGAACCCCACGAAGGACATTTTTTCTTGTGAGCGAAATATGTTATGTTTATTTTGATCTATTTTTATAATAAAGGTGCTGGTTCTTCCTGTGAACCAAGATGAAACAATGAATAGCTTAGGTTAGCTTTATCATCGAGAGATTCCTCGCTAGTTACTGACGGCCTTTTAACCACTAATTTCTGTCTACTAAGAGAAGATTGCATTGAATGACAACGACTTGCTCATTTATAGAAAAAGAAAAAGAAAGAAATGTGATATGCAACGTTAACAAGTAGACCACCAATAATCACTTGCAGTACTTGGAAAAAGTCAAGAAGATCCAATAAAAATGGTTTTTTTCAACATTCTTTTTTACTTTGTACAAGAAAAAGCCAACAGACATATCGTATTATAGGAATTGCTTACTTCAAACATTTTAGAATCAGAGGTGCTAGCTAAACAGAAAAAATAAATGATGACACAATATCATAATTAAAGTGTGAGAGAGCCAACAATTGCAGTAAAACAAATGTTGGATATTTAACAGTAGCCATTATTGTACAGTTTTTATTTCAACAAAATTTATTTATTTATTATTCGACATTTCGGTGTCATCACGGATCCATTATCAAGGAAATTTACAATTGAAATTATTTGTTATACTACTAGTAGTCAATCGTGTATATACTAAGACCGAATACAAGAGAAAATAAAAGAAAGAATTTGCTGAATGAACATATGTGACAAGAAGAAAATTACTGTTCACCTTTTTCTTATTTCTTTTGTATTCTTCCATCAGGGACAAGCATCCTCGTTCGAGAACATCCATCTGGAAAAACGATTAAACGAACTGATCTAATTGATTCACTGACTACTCTGTAAATTTTTGGAAATAGATGTTAAGAAAACTAAACGTTGGAAAAATAAGAAAACAACTAGTATCACTGAACCTACTCGTTATAACAATTTTGATAAAGCTTCATCTTGAACTAATTACATAAGAGATTTCTTATGTAATTCTAGGCCAACATTTGATAGTTCATTCGCTAGATTCATCTTCTAAATGTGTCATAAAGATATCAGCAATGATAGGACCTAATGGTGATCGAAACACCATCTATTTGCTCAAAAAGTTGTCCATTGAATGATTATTGTGTTGAAGCTGTAGCTATCTCACAATACGAAAGTCTTGTCTGCCGATGCATTTTTTCGCAAATTTGTCTCTGCTTCGATGATTACATTTATCACAGTTAACGTACAATTTATTATGAATCAAATTAATCGTATATTGCAAAGGAATCTTGTTGAAAAGACTCTTAATGTCGAAAGAGCACATTTTTCATCATTAAATGAGAATGTTCGAAGTTTTTGACTGAGTAAATTCAAATGAATCTTTGAGTGGTCTTGGTATCTTTCCTAAATGGGATAACCGATTAGCAAGTAACTGAGCAAGTCCACAATTGAATATTTTGATAGATAAGAGTATAGGAGGTAATGGTCGATTGCCTTTATGAACTTTGGGTAGTCCATACATACGCGCAGGTCGCGAGCCAACGGGCCTAGCCATTTGAAACTTCTTATCAGTGGTAAAATTACGTTCTTTTAATCTTAGTAGAAGCCGAGTAAGATATAAGAAATAAATAACTTTTGTTGACACAGTGCGATATATCTATTGACGCACCGTATATGCGCCTATAGGCCAGCTATTGATCACTCAATTCACAACGAATTTAATTAAGAAAACTTATAAGTTTACCCTGAACAAAACAGACTATCTAACATATTAAAATCTACCGCTAAGGATGAGAATGAAGTTCTCTATGGGAATGAATGCTACGGTTGTGACTGTTGTTATATGGGAAAAACAAGAAGCGACGATGAGACGGGAAAGCAAGAACTGCTTGATGCTTTTCGAGGTATTGGATTTTCTAGAATTGCAGAGCATTGCAAAGAAACGAATGAATCGGAATTCAAATGCTTTGGCTATAGAATCAAACTTGACAATAAGGAAAGTTTACCTTGACTTCACCTGACCTATACAAGGGTAGAAAGAAAAAAAAATATGTCTGCCAAAAAAGGTTTTCTTCGTAAAATATTTTGACGTTATTGTACAGATACATATATATATATTTAGTCTTCTATCCTTTAGTTCTCTCTCCGCTTATTTTCAATTGTAAAAGGGAATTATTCTTTCATTTGAATTTGTTCCTTGAACTGATGATGTTAGACTGACGAAACATCTCAGATAAGAGTTTTCTATTTACCATGGTTAAAAAAGTGGCATTTATCCTAAAAATGTTTGAAGTAAGCAATTGTATGAAAAGGATCCGACCGTCAGAAATAGCAACGGAAAAGCTAGCCGTTAAAAGCTAATCGATTGCATAAAATTTTAAAAAGGAAGAATGAATACTGTAAATATTATCTTTATTGTTCGTCGTTTTAGAATAATCCCAGCTAAAAGAACGATTATGACGACATTGAAATCAAGGGAAACCAATTGGTACAAAAACTAGTCGTCGTCGTCTATAGACCTGTAACAGTTCCAGCTCATAAGTTCAGCTCATTTGAGCGAAAGAACTGTTGAACAGTTCTTTTGAAAGGAGCTGATATGTTTGAACAGCTCTTTTGAAATTTTAAAAATTGAAATTTTTGAAATTTTTTCAACGACTACTGCTAAAGCTTTCATGCTGAAGCATTGATCAACTCGAAGCACTGGGCGCTCCTGAAGTCCAGGAGTCCAAGAGCAAAGTGTTCTTTTTTGGGAAGTGATTCCCAAAAAAGAACAAAACTGTGTTCAAACATATCAGCTCCTTTCAAAAGAACTTTTCAACAGTTCCTATGATAGGAGCTGATATGGAACTGTCATACCCCTAGTCGTCTATATACCAAAAAATAAAAAGTGGTTATAAGATATAATTGTAGCGCGCACATTTCTGATTAAAATGAGACATTCCCCAGCTCTACATGACGTTTATTTGCAAAGTTATAGAATTTACAATAAAAGCCCTGAATTAATTTCTTCTTATTTCTGTAGCTTTGAGCCGACAATGAACATTTAGGGCTTTTAGAAATTCGTCATTTGTTTTTTTGTTGAAATGTGAAGGATAATTACTCTAGAGGATGTTTAGTTTGTCTGGTCAGGTACCAGTAAGTAAAAGAGTCTTTGCCTGTTTTCCTATTACCGTATAATGCTGCCGAATCGACTATCTCAGATTTCGTTCAAAGTAGGCGACATGTTTCGAGAAAACATTTTGATAGATTTTAGCGAAAACTGCAGGTGTAAAAAGTGTTTCGTTGCCGAGATACTTAATTTTTATGAAAAGCCCCAAAATACCCAAATTCAGTAAACTTGAAAAATTGAGATTTTAAACTTCGTGTAAATTAGTAACGACACGTTGCTCAAACTCCAAACATTGCACCATAAACACTACATGGTGCCTACTAGAAGTTCACGCAACCGCGAGCCTTGAACATGCTCTCATTTTTTTACGGAGAATTCGTCTTTCTACTGTCAGTATTACACGTACAACAGAACGGAAAACGTTCAACAATGTGAAAATAAATTTATTTCCACATTGCAAATCTCCGGCCGCCAGGTGTAATTTCTTCGCCTTATTTCCATCTTAATCTTTGCTTTTGAAACACGTTGTCCGTCAGGATGCAGTGCGGAAATAAACTTATTTTCGCACTGTTTAACTTCTTTTGTTGTGTTGCACGTCTAATACTAATAGTAGAAAGACAATTTTTGTGCCTTGATTTCTAGAAATCCCATTTGGTTTCCCATGGGCTTTAAAAGATCCTAAAAATCCCACCATGGCTCATGATAGTATATGTGGTGTACTCAAGAGGGAAACAACAGAATTCCAAGCAGCTGTGGACTCCCAGACGTACACGAAGCTTGAAGAATCTTATACAAACTTCCCAAAGTTCGAGAAACTGGAGGAATCCCTGGGAGTACAGGAAAAAATCGGAAAAAGGGATTAGAATTCGAGGAATCTCGAAAATCTGTAAAAATGACTGAAAGTGGGGCTAAGCAGATAAAATGCAGGAAAATTCTTCGGGCTCAGCAAAGTCACGAAGAATACGAAGCAGTCTCCAGGAGTACAACATAATTTGAAAAAAATTGATTGCTTGTAGAACAGCAGTCACAAAATCTGCTGTTTCCCCCTTGGGTGTACTCCAACAATACATTGAGGGTCCGAACTTCTCCCCATTTTCCTAGAGAAAACCGTCCTCCGACATGACTAGATTGACGATTGGGATTATCAGTTAATCATCTGCTATAAGAAGAATGAAAGCATGTTCGGGGCTCGCGGTTGCGGGGACTTCTAGTAGGCACCATCTAGTATTTATGGTGCAATGTTTGAGTTTGAGCAATGTGTCGTTACTAATTTACACGAAGTTTAAAATCTCAATTTTTCAAGTTTACTGAATTTGGGCATTCTGGGGCTTTCCATAAAAATTAAGTATCTCAGCAACGAAACATTTTTCGATCTGCAGTTTTCGCTAAAATTTATCAAAATGTTGTCTCAAAACATGTTACCTACTTTGAATAGCCAATTCAACAGCATTATACGGTAATAGGTGGTGACTATCTTCAATGGCGCTCACATAACCCTTTTCTTTCAGACTCAAGAAAATAAGACCAAAATAGCTTTATCAACTATATCACTTTAATTTCTTATACATAAAGACAATAAGCATTGAAAGTAAATAAGAAAAAGAAGTTACTAAAGATACTAAAGAAAAAAATGCATGTAAAGTAAAAAATACATGTTAACTGCTATCCAATATATTTGGAAATTCAATCACTTGTATTTGATTACCAGGTAGTATCTGGTAGGATAATAAGTAAGTAAAATCATCCGATTGTAAGGATCTTTCAATTATACCTGTCGTATTCAAATCATCTTGAGGTGTGTCACTATCATTCATATTATAACATAAGCTGGTTGTTGAAACGTTTTCTTCTCATTAATTTACTAACATGCTTTAATAATGCCTCGGGAAAATCTGGTGCTTAAGTATGAAATATAGCGTCACGAAAATTGTATAAATCGACGATAATTTGTTTTTCAAAATCCGTTGTGCCATGTGTCATTTTCACCAATATACCAGTTATATGGGGTGGAAGTGAACGGATAAAAGTACGTCCCGTACTCTTTTACAAGGGAACGACTAGAACGTAAATAAATCAACCTCTCTGAATCTATTTGCTTATTCTCCTGATGTTTAGGTGTTAAAAATGTTGCTCAATTAGTTAATTCACATAAACCTACGAACATCGGAGCAAAAAAGGCCAGAAGATAGCTTGGACAATAATGGAATGTGCGCCTGGATATTCTTTAGGAGAGTTTATTCAAAGCACATGTCGTGGTGGCATTGGATTGTTAGAATCTGTTCAATTCGCACAACATGTAGTTTCAATCGTCAAAGAAGTTCACTCGCATGGTATCGTACATCAAAATCTAGAACCGAATACTATAACGATTGAATGGGATCGAAAACATACATCGATTGATCAAGCTAAATTAATGATACTAAATTTCACACAAGCATACATCAAAACACATGATACTGAAGCAGTTGATACATCAGCAACTCAACTAAGACAAATGTGGAATCAGCCACCACAAATGGATAGATGTAGCCCGACCATTGATGATGCATCAAGTATTTATGCTATATTATTTTGTTATTAATGCTATATTTATTTTGTTATTATTGATCCTACTAACGGATGATACCCTACCACATCAAAGTGAAGAAGCAATGGACACAATTAATAAAAGGATTGAAGGAGCAGTTCAAGCAGCAAGTATGTCACTTTATCCGAAAGATAAAAAAATGTTTTCTTCCATAAAGATCGCTGCCTACTTGTCTTTTTGTCACATAGGATTTTCAAAATGCATTTAGCAAACGTCTAGGAGTGTTTGAATGGTAACAGAAGATCATAGACAATTCTTCTCTTTTAGATATGTCAAAAAAAAACAATCATAACAAAAAGAATACAAAACCGGTCGGTCAGTTATTATCATCTAATATGATAAGTGGGTCTTTTTAAACACTATTTTTTCTGTGTTTCTAAACTCACTTCTATTGAATCGACATATCCATGTATCAAGATTTAGTTTATATGAAAATTTTTCTACATTTACCGTTATTGTTTCATAAATAATGAATATATAGAAACTATATTCATTTTTATAGTTTTTATTCTAAAATGTAGGAATCAATGAGTTTATGCATCAGAGTAACTCCAGAAATTCCGTTTAGGTTACGTCGAGTGAAAAGAAAATTTATAGATACCACAAAACATTTGTGCACAGCTGGTGCGAGTATGCGGGCGGGTGATCCGAGGCACAAAGACATAACTTACCCAAGGTTATTACATGACTGGACGGTGCTGAGGTCCGGACACAGTACCTTTGAAGTACGTGATGAACAACATAACTGACAAGCCATGCTGTCTCCATCGATACAACATAATGCCCACCTACAATTAGACCCTTTCAGCTTTTTCTTAAGAAAGGTTATATTTTAGAGTTCGATAACCTATAACCCACTAGATTCCGAGGCAAAAGTATTTAATCACCACGAAAGGTTCCGTCGTGAGCTACAAGTTAAGCCACCCTGTTAACTTTAAACAAATATTGACTATTCTAAAACGAGATTTTTTACGAAATACAAATCATATTTTAATATAGATGAATTGATTTATTTTTGATTGAAAAAATATGATTCTGCAAAATGGACATACTTTTCAATACAGTACTTTGCAAAAGTAGCGGACCCCCTGTAACTCAAGAACCATGATAGCTATAGACTTCTGATTTTGTGTGGGCATAGCTCTTACCGAATGCTGATCATCCACCAAGTTTGGGCCTCTTTTACTAGGTGGTTCGTGAGATATAAGCGTTTTACTTCTTTTTAGTAAAATGCTAATAACTCCTGATCCAAGAGAGATGAAAACGTTTTCGTTTTACTAAAATGTAGTCCTGATTCTTCTCTATCTACGATAAGAATTTAGAGTGGTACTTAGTAATGGTTACTGAAAGATAGCTATTGTACGATCGGGGTCTCTGGAAATAAGGTTCTGAGATATGAAGTCCTTTTCAAGAAAAATTCATAACTCATTCTAGGAACATCAATTCGACTTTAAACTCACAGCATGGCCCTAAACCCATAACATGATAGAAGAAAGTGTACTCTTCAAAATGAGATGTTTTCCAGAAACTTCTGATGAGTTTTCTTAGAGATATAAGCATAGCCCCAAATACTCTGAAAAACAGAGCGCTGTGTACAATACGTGTTTTTCTCACTATACGTTTTTTCAATAGTACCTTCAACTACTATCGAAACGGAAAGGTCGTGCCGGTTGCCGTTTTTCAAATAACTTTTTAACGAAAGGTCTTAGCGGCCTGCGGTTTTCACCATCGTATAGAGGACACTTAAAGCCATATTTTTATAA